AGATAAACAATTTAAACAGACCTGAAACAATGAGGCTAAATTTGTAATAAGTCTCCCAAATAAAAATGAAGTCAATGCTCTTAAAATTATTCCACAAAATAGAAAAGAACACACTAACCTCATTTTTATGAAACCACTGTTATTCTAATATCAAACCCAGAGAAAGATACATATACAAAAGAAAAACTATTAAATTAATCATAGCAATGAACATACATATAAAGATGAACAGGATTTCTTTTCACAGGTGCAAGTATAATTTGATATGTGCAAATAAATAAATGTAAGAATCTATCACATAAACAGGCTCAAGGACATAAATTACGTGATCATATAAACAGATGCAGAGATGGCTTTTGGCAAAACCCAACATCCCTTCATAATAAAAACTGAAGAAAATAAGACTTTATATAAGGAACATACCTCAACATAATAAAGGAAAATACAACAAGCCTACAGTTAAGGCTAGAGAGGCTTAGAAGGTAAATGTGCTTGTCACACAAAACCACAAAAACTGAGTTCATTCCCTGGAATACACATAAAGATAGACGATTCTACAAAGTTGTCCTCTGTGCTCCAAATAATCATCATGGTAATGCACCAAACCACACACAAGAACAATAAGAAAATAAAACGTGAGAAGTGACAGCCAACACTGTATTACCCTGGGAAAACCATAAAATATATCCAGTAAATTAAGCAATGAAACAAGGGTATCCACTTCCGATACTCTTATTCCATATAATGCTTGAAGTCTTACAGAAATAAAAAAGGGAAAGAAATAAAGGGGATACAAATAGAAAAGGAGTTAGTCAATGATCTGTATTTGCATATGATGTGATCTGTATGTAAAAAACCCCAGACATCATAAAAACCTCTTAGAATTGATACTTTCAGCAATATAGTAAAATAAAAAGAAAAGCATATAAAACTCAATAGCCTCCCTACCACAGCAATAACAAACACACCTGAGAAAGAAATCAAGAAAACAATCACCACCAGGCGTTGGTGGCACACGCCTTTAATCCCAGCACTTGGGAGGCCGTGGAAGGCAGATCTCTCAAGACAGCTTGGTCTACAGAATGAGTTCTTGACAGCCAGGACTACACTGTGAAACCCTGCCTCAAAAAACAAACAAACAAACAAAAAAAGAAAATGAAGGAAGGGGGATGAATGGAGAGAAAGAGAAGTATTTTTATTTCAAAAAGTAAAGCACCTTGCAATAACCTAGCAAAGGATGTCAGAGACCTCCACAATGAAATTTTCAGGAAGAAAGAAATTAAAAAGTGCTAAGGATAAGTAACTGTTGAATCCTCGGTCTGAAACAGGGTGTCTATATCATTCCCTCCAAGGCCTCAGGAATACTGATGAGAAAACAGAAGAATAAGCTAGAAGATAAATAAGGAGGGATGCTGTGAAACTTTGTTTTCTCAGCATGGTATGGTCAGGGCACTCACATCAGCAATGTGTACCCACACAAGTCCTGCAGAAGACTGGGTCTTACCAATATTCCATCAGGAATTGAGGAAGGGTTCATAAAGCCCAATTCCTCCCAGAGGAACTACTACAAGTTTAACGAGTTGCTAGAGAAGAGGGAGGCATACAGCTTAGTGATATAACCAGCCACTTAGTCAAGTGGCCTCATACTCATATTCATACAGGAAAGCCTAATAAATAGTGACCCACAAAAATGAATAAAAAAGTTATGAAACAGGTTTATTGAAAGGGACTTCAGCAAAAGAACTGGGATGAATATAAGAGATGATATACATCATATTATGTATACAAATATGAAAAAGAATAATTTCCATTTATTGATACAACTTTAGGGTCAATCTTGTGATATATAAATTTCACTTCTTGTTTGGTATTGTGTTTATACAGATCTTTTAAAAATGTAATGCATAATAAAATGCAAATTATATATAGTCAGGTATAATAGTCAAAACTTACAGTTAGGTTAGTTAGGTTTTCTAGATATACAGAGATGTATTTGAGATGGATAGATATTCTTCAAACCTTTCAAAGACCTGCAGAATATATGGCATTTAAATGGTTTAGGGTTTTTCTTGACAGTGAGATACAACTGCTCCTGGCACACCAATTATGTCAGAAAGGAGGATGGGCATCAAAGAAACTTGTTATGAGTTTGCCTTCAACATGGCAAGATTAGCCATTTTGGCAGGAAACTGCTCTTGCCTGGACTGTTTGATAAACTGGACATGCAGGACCTACAGTAAAGTGACTGCTGAACTTGCAAAACAAGACAGTCCTGAAGGGTTCCTGCTTCATGGAGAAGTCTGCCAGACACACTGTGTCCTATAGGCTGAAGATGGATGCCCCAATGTTACAAAGGAACTTTGGGTGACTGTCTAGGAAGCGAGAAGTCTATGTCAGATGTAGAGTTTACATGTTGTCCTTCTGTGGTCGAAAAGAATAAATTTTAAGATAACATTTATCTGTGCTTAAATAATCAGAATTCACAATTCACAATTCACTGGCATATTTATAGGAACAAGTCAAACAGCAGAAACTGTGCACTAATTCTAATTGAAATACATGTGGATATATTTGTAGAATTCTAGAATGCAATGGTGAAAAAATGAGATTGAAAATGTGTAAGTAGGACAAAGGTGTCCAGAAAGCACGTAGGAAACTCACTAGAAGAAAATACATCCAATGTGAAAACTACTGGATTTTTTGACATGATCAAATTTTTCTCTGTACATTTATGTGTTATTTTACTCAATGTATACAAATTACTATTCTAATAAATTAAATCTAATTTTATAGTTGAAAAAAAGTGATTGAGATGGGCATGCTTAATTCTAACATTGGAATGTCATAGACAAGTAAGTGGATTCCTTTGAGTTAGAGAACATCCCACTCTACAAAGCAAGTTCCAGACTAGACAGGGGCTGCACAGTGAGACTGTTTCAACAAAGGAAGGGATAAAGGGAATTGAAAAAGAAAAGGACACAAAATAGATGGAAAGACTTCCTATGTTCATGAATAGCCAGAATTAACACTGAGAAAATGGCTTTATTTGCAAGAGTAATCTAGAAAATCATTTACAAAGACATTCTTCACAGATACTAAAGAAAACAAACTTAAAATTCACATGAAAGCACAAATAGCATCTACAAGCCAAAGCAATTCTGAGCAAAGAGAACAATGCCAGGAATCATCAACACATCTAATTTCAAGATATACTACAGAGGCACAAAAACAAAGAAGGTACAATATTAGAACAAAAACAGACAATGGTGTGAAATTGAGGACTCGGGAGACAAACACACATATAACACAAAAAACATACCAATAACCACTTGTGTTTTGGTAAAGAAGCCTGGAAATTACAGTAGAGAAAAGACAGCATCTTCAATACAAGAAGCAAGAACTGTATATCCACTTGTATATGAGTGAAGCTGTATCTGTGACTCTCAGTACAAAAATTAGTTCAAAATGGATCAAAGGTGTTAATTTAAGATCTAAATGTCTGATGTTATTAGAAGAAACCAGATAAAACAGTTCGAGGTATGGCAAGGACTTTCTGAAAAGGACTCCAATAGCTTAGGATATAAATTCAAGAACTGAACAATGGAACTATATAAAACTGCAATGCCAAGGAAACAACTGAATGGAGTGACGGGCTACAGAATTGGAGAAAAGCTATACTAGCTACAAATTTAACAGAAGACAAATATCTAATTCAAAGGACTATTTTAAAAGTATGATCAATAAATGGCTAACTTGATGAACTGATAGCTCTCAAATCATGAAGTACATACAAATGGCGAATAAACATAAAAAATGTTCAGCACCCGTTGCCATCAAAGGACGAATTCCAACAAGACAGAGATTCTATCTAACCCCAGTCAAAATAGAAATTATAAAAAAACAATTAGCAATAGTATCTGGGGGAACTAATGAGAATAATAGAAGGTAAAGAAGATGGAAGGATATAGCAAAGCATCTGATATACTTGTATCTTTATAAAAACATCAGTAGGAACTAATAGACACCAATTAATTAATTTTTCAAAATTCAATACAATTACTCAAATCTACCTTTAGATAGAAAGAGAAATAGTTAGGAACATGAAACATGGTTTTTGAAACTTATGTAATAATAATATTAAACACTTATTTTAACTTACTCCAGATTATGAGCCATGAGACATAGGTAATCAGTTCAGAATTCTACTTTGCTACCCATAATTAGAAAAACAGAAATAAAACATAAAAATAAGACAAAACAAAATGAAGAAAGAAACCAGATATAGGGGCTAGGGGTGTAGCTCAGTGTAGAGCACTTGCCTAGCATGCACAATGCCCTGGGCTCATTCCACAGCACTGCAAGAAAGATGATTAAATAATTAAAAAATGAGAAATGAAAACAGAAATAGAACAAAATAAACAGACTTTCACATACTGGCTGAGAATTATTTCATGAAATTTAAAAACATATAGTTGCACATATATTTGCATGTCATAATATAAATATGCATTTTGATGGTTTACAATAAAGCATTTGAAATTCTATGGATTTGTAGGTATTTGTGAACTTCTAAAAGGATTAAAATGTAATCCCTGGAAATAGGAATTACTTCACCTTTTTGATTAATAACCTGCTTTATTTCTAATTTCAAATTATAATAAAATATGAATCTATGAACATATCAAATATGCAAATGTAGTACTCTACATGTACACTACATTTGGTCTTGAAGATAGTGTCATTTATTGTCATCACATGTATCACAAAAGACCTGATGGAAAATTAAATTTCTCAAATTGCTACTACTTAAGAATTTATGTATGTATGTATGTATGTATGTATGTATGTATGTATTTTTATGCATATATGTGTATGCACATGCAAAGTAATTAAAAAGTAAAACTGAGCATCAAATATTTTTGTTGGTCAAAATGGACTTAAAGAAAAGATACCAAAAATAGAGAAACGAAGTTCAGAATAACAAAAACATATTGGCATACCCTTTTTCCTGTCCCTCTTCCCACAGGAGGATGACATTCAGCTGCTTGTCTAATAGTACAAAGCATTATTTCAATCAAAGCACTCTCTTGTCTGTCTGTTAGAGCTAAAAAAGAAAATCAGAAAGAGTTAACCTATTTCTTTTTCATATATGCCTCTTATAAAGCATTTGGTGTCTACTTAGAATA